AGTGAATTTAAATGAATATCATGTTTGTTCTGTGTTACGTTTAAGCAGTCTAGTCCTACACCCTTTATATAGACAGCAAATAACAACATAACCAGTGTAATGCCACTGGTGGGGTCTAGAGAGGGTAGAGTGTATGCAGACCTTATCCTTACCCATGAGAGGTAAGAGGCTGTTCCCAAAAGATTTATATAGACAGCAAACCCCAGGTAAATGAAGAACCTTAATCAGGGAGAAAACTCACAAGAGACCCTGACATCTGATCAGCTTTAAATTATTGACATCACATAGAGACATATTTTTTTCCTTTTCCTTCCGTGTTACCCCCTCTGTTTCATTTTGTGGGTGGGTCCGGAATATGAGAGTCTCACAACTTTATTTTCTACGCAAATTCAGACACAAAATCTTCAAGTCTGAAATAAAATTTTAAGAAACTACATAAAAAGTACAATAAGTACTAAAAGTTAATAATTCAAAATATAAGACAATCATGGTCAAAGAAAAAACTTTGACTCTTTTCATCCAAAGATTAGGGGGTTGGAGCAAAATTCACTGTACAGAAAAACTTCAAGTAGTTGAGATATCCGTAGCTACTTCCACACTAAAGTAAAATCCATTCGATAGGACGAAGCACAATGTGACAACTTTAAAAACTAATTTTGACAGTCAAGTTTTTTATAATTCCAGGCCAATGTGAATAAAAAACCACTAACCTTTGTAGTTGCTCTTCGAGATCCTTGCAACTAGCTAGGGTATCCAGGTGATTCTTCTTTTCCTCTTGAAGCTCATTATCAAGACTTCCTATCTTGGCCTGAAGACGGTTGACTTCAGTTTGCAACTCCTCAGTCCGAGTTTCAAGTGAGTTGTATGACTCTGCCATGCATTTGAGCTGAATTTCAGCCAAACTGTTTGCCTTTTGAGCAGATACCAATTGTGACTTAACCTCTGCTAGGAGTTGCTCAGTTTTAGCCAACTGGGATTTAGTGCCCTCCAAGTTCTCAGAGTATCTAGCAAGATCAAGAGCCATATTTTCTTTCTCTAATTTCAATTGTTCAACCTCCTCCAATGAGCACTTCAAAGAGGTTGATGTTGACTCTGAAGTAGGAACAAGACTGACTTCATGAGGAATGCCTGGATCAGAAGTCGAATCAGAAAAATGAGCACAACCGTTTGCATAAACCTCTCCTGAGTGCTGAAGACCTTTATTTTCTGGTAAAGCAACCTTGTCTATGCAATCACAAGTACTTATTTCTGTTTCAGAATTCTTGTAACCAAGTATATTGAAGTGTAGTTGGCTCGCATTACTCAGTAGATGAGATAGATCAAGGACAAAATTCAACATACTCAACCTGTTGCTTATTACCTCAACGTAAGTGGCCAAAAAATCATCTAATTTTTCATTGATTCCACTTCCATCAGGAGCTGTTCCCTGGATAGCCTTTGATTCTTTGCCCAGAAAGAGTACAAAGTCGTGAATTTGAGACATGGCATCTGAAAAAGAAAAAGAAAAAAAGAAGAGAGATATAGCATCTGCTAATTCTTTGCTAATACCATGGACAGACTCATTGCAGGACAGGGATTTCCTTCTCTAAGTTTGCCTCGCCATCATCAAGAGAGGGCTGAGATTCAGTAGCAGTCTACGAGGATGGTGGTATGATGGCGTTGTGCATTTCCTGCACAATCTCCCTGAGATCCTCTTGAATTCTTTGAATGTCAGCTTCCTTTGACAAAGACTCCAAAACAGTTGAAATTCTTTATTGGAGCTTCATGGATATGGATGTATCTGAAAGAGGTTGATGATGTGTGATGATACTTCCCCATTGCGAGATGCTTGATCTCCTGATACATTTGTCTCATTATGTTCTTTCAGCTGAAATTTGGGCTTTTGGTGACATGCATGGAGTTGTCAACTTTTGTATTTTCGGGTCTTGCATTATTTGGAATATTTGGACTTGAAACTGCTCCATTTGTGTCACTCGACTGATAAGCTAATTTCTCCATCTCCAAAAAGTCATTCATGAGATCCAGGTGGCTTGCACTCTCAGATTTATGTGGACTGTCAAAGTTCTTTTCCTTCTTGACATGGGAGAGATCAGACTTTAATGCTGTCGTCCAAGCGCTAGCACAACTAACATTATCGTCATTTCCATCTTCAGACATGGAAGCCAATCTTGGAAGATGATTTGCTTCATGGCTAAAGGAACCCTCAGATGGCTGTTGTCAAATGGTGGACTTTTGTGGGCTTTTCTGTTCAAAATTTGGTTGCAGCTGTGCTTCCAAACTCTGAAGCTTGCTGGACGTCTTTGCACAAATACTCCCGGATGTTTGTAATTCACTGTTCCGGTGTGCCAAAGCTTCTTTCAACATCTTTGTTTCCTCTTCCATTGCCAAAAGGCATTCTGTTAATTGCTCATTCTCTTGAACTTCTGCAGACTATCAAAGGAAAAATCTGGCAAACTGGAAAACTGTGGACTATCGAAGGCCTTCCTTGGGATTTCTTTACATGGCTGTCCCTGTAATGTCTACCCAAACTCTCAACCTCAAGCTTCATTTGGGCCAAGGCTGCAGAGGCCCAGGCAACTTCTTCCGGACAAGACCACGTAATCTCTGACACTCTGCTTCTAATTTTGCAATTTTCTTCACTCCCTCCAGGTGTTGTTTATTTGCAACTTCGGCAGACCGTACACACTCATATTTTTCCCCTCATTACGAATTTCTAGTTCCTTTGAGTTAATATGGAGTACATATTTCAGAGAATTTATTTCCCTTTCACATGACTCAATATTGCTCTTCAACATAACTCTATTTCTGCTTCAGCTTGGGATTTTTTTACTGAGCTTTATCACCATTCTAGAACGCTCCTGCAAAGAGCTTGAGAGTGCAGAATTTACTGCTGCAGACCTGAGTAACTGTTGGTCCAAGTTAGCTATCTTTGCTTCAAACTCATGCTTCATTTTTTCAAACTGTTTGGCTTTATTCTGAATCACATCATGCAGCTTCTGTTCATGCTCTTCTTTCAAATTATGTATCTTCCGCATGCACTCCTTCAGTGCACCATCCAAATGTGATGCCCTGTCTTCAGCAGTAAGCTTCAAAAGAGTGACGGATTCCAGGTAATTTTTCAGTGTCGCGGCTTCTGACTCAGCCTTCTCCCAACCGGTCCAGAGAGATGTCAATAAAATAACTCAATACTAAGTTACAGAACACTTAGTACAAGAAAAACATAAGTCAATAAGGAACATCACCTGAGACAGCTTTAACTTTAGGGTGTTGTTTCACCAGGTTCTCCTTATTAGTCATTTCTAACTGCACAGCAGACAACTTTTCATCCAAATCCTTGACTTCACCCTCTAAGCCATTCACTTGTTCCTCGAGAGACTTAACTTGATCCTCCAGTCCAGTCAAATGTGAATAAGATTCAACAGAAATTTGCACATACTTCGGTTTCTTGATTTGCTGTTTACTCTGAAATACAACGGAAACCAAAACATAATAAATCACCAAGACAAGACAAATTGAATGAAGATTTCTCACAATGTATATAATTTTCAAAACAATTCGAGTTTCATTTACCAAACCGAAAACTATGTCTTCTTCTTTCTAGCACCAATAAATTGTAATGTAGAGACTAGAGACGCAAACAAAATTTCAGAACTAAACTGAAACTTATAATTTGTCAGGTTAATTTTAAGACCAGCATCCATCAAATCTCAACCTAAAGCTATAAGCCTCAAAATTTAGATAAGTGTAGTAGTTCTTTGCTAGCATTGACCAAATTAAGCAGCAATTTTTTTAGACAAGTCCTCGTAGATTAAAGGTCAACATGGAAGCCTTGTTGTAGATGCAAACGTATTGACAGATTGTAAGAAGAATTACGGCTAGAGAATCTAATAGTTGTAGTGGCCACAAAGAATGCAAAGAAAACGGAAATCCTAGGTCAAGGAGCAAGTAGAAGATAAAAAAAAGAAATTGATTTGTACATAACATGATCGTTTCCAATGATATAGATATCAACTAACACACCTATTCAACCCGGGACCACCCCTCCACCCCACCCCCGGCCTCGAGGCGTCTTGCACCGAGGCCACCCCGCCACCCACCCTCACTCCTGGCCTCGTGGAAGGATGCCCCGAGGCCAACCCGCCACCCACCCCCACCCCCGGCCTCGAGGCGTCCTGCCACAAGGTCACCACCAAATCCACAGCCTTGAGGCGTCCTGCCACAAGGCCAAGCCCCCCACCCCCACCCCAATCCTCAAAGCGTTCTGCCCCAAGGCCATCCCCTACCGCCACCCCCATCCTCGAGGCGTCCTGCCCCGAGGCCAACCCCCATTCCCACTCCTGGCGACGAGAATCCTGCCCCGAGGCCACCCCCCCACACCTGGCCTCGAGGCGTCCTGCCCCGAGTCCCCGCTCCCCATATCCCCGGCCTCGACGCCACATCCCCAACCCTTGCCTCGAGGCGTCCATCCCCGAGGCACTCCCTTCCAACCACCGGCCTCGAGGTGTCGTGCCTATCCCCATCCCTGGCCTCGAGGCATCCTTCCCTGAGGCCACCCCACAATCCCACCATCGGCCTTGAGGCGTCCTGCCCTGAGGCCACCCCCTTCCCACCATCGGCCTCGAGGCGTCCTGCCCCGAGGCCAGCCCCCGCCCTTTCCAACCCCAACCTCGAGGCATCCTGCCCCGAGGCCATCCTCCGCCCTTTCCACCCCCGACCTCGAGGCATCCTGCCCGAGGCCACCCCTTCCCACTCCCGGCCTCGATGCGTCCTGCCACAAGGCCACCACCACCCCACCCCCGGCCTCGAGGCGTCTTACCCCTAGGCCAGCCCTCTCCCCACCCACGACCTCGAGGCATCTTGCCCCGAGGGCACCCCCTCTCCACTCCCAACCTCGAGGCGTCCTTCCTCGAGGCCACCCCTCTCCCACTTTCGGCCTCGAGGCGTGCTGCCCCGAGGCCACCACCACCCCACCCCCGGCCTCGAGGCGTCTTGCCCTAAGGTCACCCCCCCTCCCCACCCTTGGCCTCGAGGCATCCCGCCCCGAGGCCACCCTCCCACCCCCGACCTCGAGGCATCCTGCCCCGAGGCCACCCCTTTCCCCACCCCCGACCTCGAGGTCTTGCCCCGAGGCCACCCCCCTCCCCACCCTCAGCCTCGAGGCATCCTGCCCCGAGGCCACCCCCGACCTCGAGGCAGGACGAGGCCACCACCACCCCACCCAAGGCCTCAAGGCATCTTGCTCCGAGGCCACCCCCCTCCCCACCCTCGGCTTCGAGGCATCCTGCCCCGAGGTCAACCCCCCCCACCCCCGACCTCAAGGCATCCTGCCCGAGGCCACCCCTTACCCCCAACCTCGAGGCGTCCTTCCTCGAGGCCACCCCTCTCCTACTCCTGGCCTCGAGGCGTGCTACCCCGAGGCCACCACCACCCCACCCCTGGCCTCGAGGCGTCTTGCCCTGAGGTCGCCCCTTTCCCCACCCCCGGCCTCGAGGCGTCTTGCCCTGAGGTCGCCCCCCTCCCCACCCTTGGCCTCGAGGCATCCCGCCCCGAGGCCATCATCCCACCCCCGACCTCGAGGCATCCTGCCCCGAGGCCACCCCCAACCTCGAGGCGTCCTGCCTCAAGGCCACCACCACCCCACCCCCGGCCTTGAGGCGTCTTGCCACAAGGCCACCCCCCACCCCACCCTCGGCCTCGAGGCATCCTGCCCCGAGGCCATCCCCCCACCCTCAACCTCGAGGCATCCTGCCCCTAGGCCACCCCCGACCTCGAGGTGTCCTGCCTCGAGGCCACCACCACCCCACCCCCGGCCTCAAGGCGTCTTGCCCCGAGGCCACCCCCCTCCCCACCCTCGGCCTCGAGGCATCCTGCCCCGAGGCCACCCCCTTCCCCATCCTCGACCCCGAGGCCACCCCCCCAACCCCGACCTCGAGGTATCCTGCCCGAGGCCACCCCCGACCTCGAGGCGTCCTGCCCCGAGGTCCCCCCTTTCCCGTCCCCGTTCCCCACCCCTGACCTCAAGGAATCCAGACCTGAAGCCACCCCCTACCCTCGGCCTCGAGGCGTCCTTCCTTGAGGCCCCCCTTCCCCCCACCCCCGACCTCGAGGCGTCCTTCCCCGAGGCCCCACCCCCGCGCATCGAGGCGTCCTTCCCCGAGACCCCCTACCCCCCTTCGCCTCGAGATGCCTTGCTCTGAGACCCCCATACAGCCTCCCCCACCGTACCTCCTACCCCCTGCCTCAAGGCATCTTACCCCGAGGCCATCCCCTCCCTACCCTGCCTCGAGGCTCCTTCGCCCCCGCCTCGAGGCGCCGTTCCCCGAGCCCCACTCCCCCTATTTTTGTGTGCGCTGACATTTCATCACCTTTAGAGAAGAAAGATATTAGAAGTTTACCTCAACAAGCCAATCAACTCATATAGCGTGCATGCCCAATTGATGTCTTTCTGTACTTTCGCCATGAAATCTGTGGAAGGCCTTTTTCTTTGCCTAGTACAATGATTTAAGTTAACATTACAACATGTTTGATGACAAAATCTTAGCAAAACTGCAATTCATGTTTGATAACAACAACATGCAATTCAAAGAGCTGAAATAAAGATAGAGGGTAAACAGTTTTATACCTCAGAGGCTCGCAATTGTTTTTATCAATGTTGACAATTTTATCCCCTAATTCCATGTCCACAAGTACATCATATATCTGCTGCAGGAATTAAAAATAGATAAATTGTATAAATAGATGTTATAGTTATAATGAAATTCTAGAACAAGGACTACTCTTTTCTGAAAAGATCAAAGACTTCTCACTGTGTCAGAAGTTGACATAGATGGTAGTGATGTTAGGCACAACTGCATCACTTCTTTGAATAGAAACAGGTTTGTTGCTTGGTCCGACAGAGGAAGATGCTGGCAGAACAGCAAACTGTATTACTGGTGCAAGTAATGCATTAAGAAATGTTCTTAATCCAAAGCCAAAAATGATTCCAAAGTTTGTCACTACTTCAGATACAAGAAACAATCTTTTTCAATTTACTCACATTGCAAAACAGCTAATTAAATCAAAGGTTCATCAAACTGTGAAAAATAAAAATTATCAAAAGTTTCTTATAAATTTTGTCCCTAACAAATTAAGAACACTAATAAAATCATTTAAGGAGACAAAAAACAGGAATTGGTCCACTGATCCACAGTTATGATCTAGAATGTCAGTGGTCCACTTCATGATTTAGAAATTTTTAAACACAAACTGTTGTTTAAATTGACAGCCAAGAAGGACTTTCTACAAATTGACTGCCAAGGACTTTTTAAATAAGAGGAATCGAAATACTCGAAATGAGAAATGCAATCCAATCACACTGATTTAGAAATTTCTAAACACAAACTGTTGCTAAAATGATTTCGACTCCTATAAAAGTATTTCAGATCGCATCAGGCCACAAACAGGGAAGCATTGGAACATGTAAATCATTACAAACCAACCCTATTTCTAAACAGGCTTGCCAGATGCTAGACGAAGTGGAAAGATTTACAGTATATCATTTATAATGCACTTCAGAATTCATATAATGAGAGGGGAAACTAACACAAACTCATTTGACAGTCTATAAGAGAAGGAAGAAACAAACACAAACTTGATCAAAATGTATTTAAAAGAAGAAGGAGAAATATATATTCATGCTCTCAGAAAAGAGCCAACTATTAATTGCAGAAAAATCGTTTAATGAATACACTTGGAAACACTGATTCTAGACGAACTTTCGGGACAACTTATTATCAAGACGAGGACAAACAAACTTAGTTACATAGATAAATTTGATCATTTTTAAATCAAAATATTAGAACAGGAAATTCAATGGCAGTTAGGCTACACAAAATTTACATCGACATGAATTAGGTAAAAAGCTCAAGTACATAAGCAGCCGATATCTATAAATGATTTCTCGATGCTCAAAAATAGACAATATGGCAGATTAAAGACTCAAAACAAAGCTAGAACTCTTATTTTTTAGAGAAAATTAAATGGCTAGTACTTAGGACAGAAATTTAAACCCGAAGCCACGACATACAAATGTAAGCTTAAATGATCCCAAAACATGAAAATTAAGCTACTATATGCATTTGTAAAGCATAAACTTTTCTTCAGCCTATTAACATTAGATCTTTATTCAAATGTTCAAAAAGCAAAGTGGACAGATAAACAAAAGAAACAAAAAGGCTGCCTTTTACCTTATCGCAGTCGCTAGCTTTATTTAGGATGCATCCACCACGTTCCAATTTGAATAGAATGAGAAATAGTCTCCTAACTCGCTTTTTCAAAAGAAGCAGACATGAAAATCTGAACTTCTAAAACAATATAAAAAAGCTTGGTAGATTACACTTCAAATGATAGACACAATTGGTAGGCCTCCAGGAATAGGTTTGTTATGATGCAGAATCAATGACAAGATGAGATTGTGCATCAAAAATGAATTGGGGGAAGATGTTTCAAATGTTCCATTCATAATACTTTTTAACCATTAAAAGAATACTTAACTCAAACATAATTTTTTAAACAGATAAAACAGTGAACTTGTTTATACAAGGGAAGTCAATAATCAAATAATTCAACTACCAAATATCACAATCTCGACCAAAAAAAAGAAATAAGAAATCCCGCAAATCCAAAATCGCTTCACTTGAGTTTCTCAAATTAATTTTTACCCAGAATCTTCAATCATTTTTTTCACGAAACCCAACGTAGCATTAACCAATTTACTTATTTAATCCAAGAAAGAAGACCCCAGAAAAAGAAATCACAAAACCCACCTACATTTTCATTCCGTACATAAATTAACGCAAGAAACCCCATAACCAACATACAAAAACAGAGGAAGACTCACAAGTTTGGAGGAATGAGAAATCGAGCAGAGACAGTTGTATGATTCGAGATATTAGAAAGTACCGGTCGTTTCTTGGGCGATCCGGCATTCAATTTTCCGGTCTGATTATTCTCCAACCCTGATGAATTAGCCGACATTGCTTGTCTCTTCGCCACAGATGAACGCCTTCTAATATAAAACGTCTTCAAGAAAACGAAGAAGAAAGCTCGATTTAGGTATCCGTTAGGAGCGGACCAATTAGATGAAGACACGTAGGGTCTAATGAAAGTTTGAATGGATACGCTCTTACAAAGGGAAAGCTCACGCTTTTCTTAGTTGGATCTTATTATATGCTATATATATCTTTTTTTCGTGTTTAAAATATGTGAGTATATATATAGTATTTGTATCTCAAATAAGAAGTTAAAAAACATTATTGTAGGGATTGCTTTCCTTTGAATAGGACCCTATCGGACATGAATTTAAATTAATTAAATTTTAATATAAAAAAATACTAAACACTGTATGAAATAAAAATGGATCAAAAAAGTAAACCTTTCGAAAATCAAACTTCAGATATAACAGTTTGAACTTTTTAAATTTCAATCGAATTCAACTTCATTTTCACATATGATAAATTAATTCTAGTAGATTCTTTGACTTTATTATCTGTAGATTCTTTCTACTTTTTAAAAGGAATAATTCAAACAATGTTGATCTAATAGATTGCTAGTATGTTTCAACTTATTTGTCTTATTCTTTTTAGTTTATTTTAAGATGTTTTTTTAACAACTTTTTATTTCTAATTTTTCACGTGGCATATTTTGAGACCACAAAATTAAAGGACATTTTGATATATTCTACGTATTTTTAGTTTAAGATCGTAAGATTAAAAAATCTTTTAAATTTACTTAAACTTCATGTCACGTTAAAATCAATAACATTGAAATTGTGAAAGTAGTGTATGTGTAAAATTAGGAATACTTGTTGTAGACGAAAAAAATGACAGATAATCTCTTATTTTTAAGATAGGCTTAAAATAGACATTTAAATTAAGAGTTGATATAGTTTAGACAAAATCAAAATCCTTAACTTTATGAATATTTGATTTGCATTTCGAAATCAAGTATTTTCAAATTTTGTCCAAAATTTTAAAGTTTTATATCTTATCTTAATACTAATTGCAATACTCTACCAATCAATCAATATACTCATTAGGCAAGATGATATATGCTAAAAAACCACAGTAATTTGTTAAGCAGTAGACATATGTTTCAACTTATTTGTCTTATATTTTTTTTAGTTTATTTTAATATGATTTTTTTTACAATTCTTTAATTCTAATTTTTCACGTGACATTTTGACATATTTTAAGTATTTTTAGTTTAAGATTAAAAAATACTTTTAAATTTTTTTAAACTTCGTGTAAAGTTAAAATCAATAACATTAAAACTGTTAAATTAGGGATACTTGTTGCATAGACGAAAAAATGACACAGATAATCTCATATTTTTAAGATAGGTTTAAAATAGACATTTAAATTAAGAGTTGATTTAGTGTAGACAAAATTAAAATCTTAACTTTTTGATTATTTGATTTGCATTTCGAAATCAAGTATTTTCAAATTTGGGTGATCTGAGGTCAGATTCATGGACTAATACACACGAAAAACTGAGGAATATG